TTGGGTTGGGTTGGGTTGGGTTGGGTTGGGTTGGGTTGGGTTGGGTTGGGTTGGGTTGGGTTGGGTTGCGTTGGGGTGGGGTGGGCTAAAGGATGCGCCAGAGGAGGTGGGATTAAAAGGGCAAACAATTCAGGTGGGTTCGACCCCAGGGTGAAGTGACCAGTTCTTAAAGTTTACGAAACGGACAAACAGGCTGCCCACCTCCCGCCTTTGCCGAATCTGGATCTGGATCTGGATCTCACCCGCCGCATCTCCGCCACCTCCTCCGCCGCCACCACCTCCGCCAGGTGGTCCTGAAATGCCAGGGAGTACCAGATCTCCCCGCGCCACCAGCCGGCCAGGAGACCGCCGGGGCCGCGGGCGCTGCTGCGGCCGCCGCCGCCGCCGCCGCCAGGACGATTGTACGGGGCAGGTGTGCGGGACTGGCCCCCCACCAGCCCAAACCGTGCACGCTTCCTGCTATAGGACTTTTTGCGGCCCTTGCCGTCACTGTCGCTGTCATCGCTGCTGGTGCCACTGGCGACGGCGGTGGCGGCATCGGGGTTCGCTTCTCGGTTTGCCATCGCCGCCGCCGCCGGCGCCCGGCTTCCCTCCTCCTCCTGTTCCTCGCGGTCCCCCTCCCTCTCAGCATCCAGCACCTCCTCCCCAAACTCCCCAATCGCTCTTTGACACTTCCGCCTACGACCAACACCACTCGTGCCGCAGTCGTCACCGCCGTCACCGCTGCCGCCGTTGCCGTTGCCGCCGCCGCTGCCCCGCTCCGGAACCCTCTCCAACGGTTCCAAACCGTCCCGCTGCCGCGCGGCGGCGCCGTACAATTGCAGCTGCTCAAATGTACGGAAACCTTGTTCCCACCAGGCTCGAGCCAGTACAGGGCCGCATCCCGGCAGGCGGCAGAACATGCGCCGTGTACTGCAACCACCACGGGGGGTGGGGGGTGCGGGGTACGACAAAGCACAGGCGATTGGCGGGAAGGAAAAACCCTAGACGGAGGGGTAACCTACCCCCGGGGGGGGGGGTCGGGGAGGCCGGAGGAAAAGAAAACACATACACAAAATGCAAGAATGCCGGCTGCCAGGGCTGCTGTTACAAAACACATGGACACGCCCCTGCCGCGCCTCCTGCAACCCGTGTCGAGATGCCGGGTTTTAGGGTTTTAGGGTTTGCCTCGTACTTCCGGCCCTGATGCCCACCTGGCACCCTCAGTTCCAGGCCGAAGCCTGCCCCGGGAATCTCGAGCTGGAAGATCCGAACGGTACGCGTCCAGCGGTTCACAGCTACAACTGCCATCCGCGTTCCCTCCGCCGCCCCCGCCATCGGACCCCAGGCTGGACACCATCTGATGTATGATGCGCGCTGTGAAGGGCCCTATGTACGGCAGCTCGCTCTGCAGGCGCAGCGGCGACATGGCGGCGGTGATGCGGAATGCACAGGCGCGTACGACGGCGGCGGCATGGGCGTAGTTGAGCGCCTGATGGTTGATGGGGCCGCTGCCGGCGGCGGCGACGGCACCGCGGCCATCCCCCCCGCCGCCGCCACCGCGAGCCCTCGCGTGCCTCGAGACTGTTGCACCGCTGTCGCGAGGTGGCCGGAGCGCCTTAGACCCGTCCGTGTTGTCTGGCATAGGAGGGGGAGAATGGGGAATACGACAAAGCACAGACGATTGACGAGAAGAAAACCCATAAAATTACCAATACTGACGGAGACGACGTAAGGTGGAGGTGAGGTACTGGCTCGTAGTGACCCCTGGGGTTGTAGTCACCAAGGAAACGGAGGCACTTAAGGGAGTTAGGGAAGAGTCCGAAAAGAGTCCGAAAGTTTGCCGTCGGCCTGGCGGCGGCATTGAAAAGGCTGGAGCAAGACTGGCTGATAAGCTGGTGATAAACTGCTCGTGGCATGCAAGTGCTCCTCTCAACCCCCCAAGAAGGAGGGGGAGGAGGGGAAAAAAGGGGATGAGGGGAATACATTCCCCATACATACATACCTGCACACGCGCCTCGAGGCCCAGCGAGTGCCTCCTCGTACTTGGTGAGCTCCCGTAGTGCCGCATCAATGGTGCCGTTGCCGATGAACGAGCATCTCGACGAGTCGAAGATGCCGTACATGACGAGCTCTATCGGCGGCGCCGCGGCGAAGCAGTTGGCCGTAGCGCGAGGGTGAGGTGGGGGCTGGGTGGGTGAGTGAGTGAGTGAGTGAGTGAACTCATCATTAGTTATATAGGCTGCGGTCCTCACAGCCCTCAACGCCGAGGCGAGGTGGTGACGGTATGGGGTTCGCTAAACACACCCCTGGAGCGGATGTTGACTAACAGCAGGATTGACTATGCGGAGGACGTGCCGGGCTTTGTCGTGTGGATGTGTATGCATGTGCTCACATAACGCCCACGTAATCGAACGAGCCGGCAGGTCAGCTTTCTCCCCTTCCCCCCCGCCGCCCCTCCCCTCCCTCCCCTTCCCTTCCTTCACCGTATCGCTATCCGCCGTGTCTATGCCGTACACGTACACGTACACGTACACGTCGACCCACATCGCTCGGGCCCCCCCCGCACCTGACAGCAGCGTCACCTGGTCCAGCTCGGATCGCCATTCGCCCAGCCAGCCGTAGAACCTTCAGGTAACCGGGCAGGCAGAAGGTGTGGAGCGGCATAACGACAACAACACGGTCACGGCAGGGGGGAGGAGGACAGGGGCGTGTGGCTCCGCTCTCACGCAGGCGCCGTGATGCAGGTGCGGTAGGTTTAGAGATGTCGGTAGATTTGGGCTTCACCGTTGGCTTTTCAACGGCATCAACTGTCAACTGCCTTCCAAATCCAAACCTAGCTGCTGAAGCTACGTCCGTTGACTCCACCAACAGGCAACTGATAAATAACCAGCAACCAAACATTATGCAACCGACATGAAACTGCCAGCCAACCGACAAGCTGACCTTGCCAACGGTGCGTCAGGCGAGGGACGCGGTCCTGGCAGCGGGGAGACAGCTAGGATCCGGATCCGGTTCTGTTTCTGGTTCTGGATCTGAACCTGGATCTGGTTCAGCTGGGGTCCATGTTGTGTCTCAGGTGTTTCGGGACCCTCATCAAGTCGCCGTGCCGTGTCCCGCTCCACCGAGAAGCCAACCTCGCCGCCGTCACTCTCATCGCCATCTGTACGGCTGCCGTCGCCGTGGTCTCGAGTCCCGCCGGCGGCGGCGATGGCACCATTCCGGCTGCCGCCGTCGCCGCCATTGCTGCAGGCGGCTACGGTGGATTGCCCGGCCGAGGCGGCCTCTGCCGCACCGGAGGACGCCGCTGCTGCCAGCGCCGTCTCCTGGATGACTTGATGGCGCTCACTACGCTGCGGCTGATCTGGCTGCAGCGGCTGCGCAGCCGGCGCCTGCGCCGCTGGTCGGCGCTGCTGCTGCTCGCCACCCACGCTTCCGTCAGATTCGCCGCCCGTGCTACGACTTGCAGATGCTGCCGCTGTGACCGACAGCCCGGCACTACCACTGTCACCATCGCCGTCACCACCACCTTCACCACCGCAGATAGACGCTGTCCACCGTGGCAAGTCCACCGCCTCGCCACCGCTGCCGCTGCCGCCGTCGCCGTCGCCGCCCCGTTCCGGAGCGGGTTGGTGCCGCTGCTGCTGGCGGCTACGATATTGCTCGCCCAACCACATTCGCGACGCCGCCTCCAACACGCCGGGCACAGAATGCGGGGCAGCGGGCATGCGCCTGTGAAGGCGGTGGGGAGGCGGGCGGCATGTCGGGGACAACCTGCCGATATCGATGCGGCTGATATGGAGGTGCAGACAGCCGGAGGGGCATCTAGGTTACGAGCAGGCCCCCGAACTTCATCCCGAACATGACGAGATAGGAGCGGAGTGGGGAACGTGTCTCGGGGAAGGGAGAGGGAGAGGGAGAGGGACTCACGGAGGGGAGAGGAGCCTAATCAGACCTGCAGACGAATCCAAACTAGGACGAGGGAAGAAATTAATTAGTCATATGCAAAAGACTTACAAGTTCAACTATTGACGCCAGGGGCAGGGGCAGGGGCAGGGGCAGGGGCAGGGGCAGGGGCAGGGGCAGGGGCAGGGGCAGGGGCAGGGGCAGGGGCAGGGGCAGGGGCAGGGGCAGGGGCAGGGGCAGGGGCAGGGGCAGGGGCAGGGGCAGGGGCAGGGGCAGGGGCAGGGGCAGGGGCAGGGGCAGGGGCAGGGGCAGGGGCAGGGGCAGGGGCAGGACCCTGCCATTGCATGGGTTACGGAAATCCTCCCTAAAGCTGTCTTACCTGCCGTACTGGAGGACTCGCTGCAGCCAGCCGCTGTCCACTACCCTCATGCGGACGCGCAGCGCCTGGGGTGTCAGCTCCAGGGTGGGATGCGCCCGTTGGATTGCCTGATGAGGCCATCATAAACCCGCCGAGCACCAGACACGGGAAGAGTGTGTGAGGACGTTAGCTCCAGGTTGCTTTAAAGCGGTGGTGTTGCACATACGAAGGGAGGGCAAGGGGGAAAGGGAAAATTGAAAAGACAAACTGGCCCTGAGAGCTCTGCTCGCTGGGTTTCCTCTCTCTTGATGAAGGGTTGCGATTGGAGGAGTAGCGATTGGAGGGGTGGCGATTGGAGGGGTGGCGGGGTTTCCGCCAGGCCATCCAGACCGGGGCACGACAGGTTGAGCAGGGCTCATTTGCCTAACTTAAGGACATGACATGGACCCCCCACCCCCGCAGCCAACAGCCAACACCCCACCTGCAGTGCGGGCTGCAGCTGCTGTGCAAGCTCATCGAGCTGTGGAAGTTCCAGGGGGTTGCTGCCCACGACCACGTGGGTCACCTGCGGTGGTGGTGGTGGTGGTGGTGGTGGTGGTGGTGGCTGCTGATGGCTGCTGATGGCTGGCTTAATACCCCTGGTGAGAAACACGATTAAACGAGATTGCAATGGGTCTGATCACCCCTATCACTGGTAGCAGTAGTGCTGCCCCGCATGCCGCAATTAACACTGTAAACACTGTACATGCCTTGGTCATCTATGAAAGGTGCGAAGAGGTATGAAGGCGCGAACCCCTTACCCACGGCCTGGGGGGGTACAAGGACCCCTCAGACCCTGACTCCCTCGCCCTCCGACCTGTTGCGGCACGCCGGGCTGCAAGCGGGTGGTGACCGATGTGGCTCCCAGCTGCTCCACCAACTGCGTGGTCAGTGCTTGCAGCTGCTCGGGTAGGAACTGTGTGTAGCTGGTGTGGAGGAGCAGCTTGAGGCCCCGGAGGGGAGCATGCGGGGGCGGCTGGGTGGACATGAACCAAGACGCGCGGTGGCTCTGAATGTGTTGCGTGCTCGGCTGCGATGGATGGGATTAAGTTCACGTGCGGTGATAAAGAGCTGGAGGTGTCGGACGAGCTTACAGAGAGATACAGGCCGAAGTCGCAGCATTCACTGTTCAGGAGTCTTCGCGTTATCGTCAGGAGTCAGGGCTCTGCAAGTTTATGAGCAATCTCAGTTTTATCAGATAAGATTGCTATTTTGCTTTTGCATTCGATTTACATCTTGCTCGATAGACACAGCCTTTTGTAAAGTTCATGACCCCTGGGTCACAAGTATAGATCGTAATCGAGCAGAAACCAAATCTCCACATTGCCCAGCATACTTACGGGCAGTCCTGGAAGCCATTGTAGAAGTTCTTAGTCATTTACTGGATGAGCCAGACGTAATAGTGCGGAGCAGGTCCATATAGAGCAACCCTTTTACAATTGACTTGGAGCAATCCAGCTGCGGCTAGGATAAATGCTGCTCGGTCGCTTAGGTAACAGCCTGTACCAACGGCATGATGTCACCCTCCCAGTCCATGCAACCAGTTCTCGTCCTGTCGTAAGGTAACAGTCATAGGTCCCTCATCTGCTATCGAATCCACAACACCCTCAAGTCACGCGTTCGGTAAAGGCTCGTCACTGAACAAAGTTTTGCAAAAGATATGTCGTCATTCGCGCTCGCAGCGCATAGGATGAACGAACCAGAACAGACAAGGAGCGCACACACGTGACTAAACACGGCTCGAATTTGATGACCTAGCAGCAGCCGGTCTGACAATGTCTTCAAACAGGTGGCTGGGGCCAATGCGCACCCCAAGGTTGAATAGTAGATAGAAGCTGCAAATTGCACCGCATGTTAGCCAAACGCACTCCGCCCATCCATCCAGCTATCGCTCCAAACACACTCATCCACACGCATACACAATTGGTTCAACACTCAAAGGTTAACCCCTCAAGAACTTGCGAACACATTAAAACACATCTCAAAATAGACTTAAGCACGGTGGCGCTCCTACAGAAGCACTGCAGACATTGCACGCACTTCATCAGCGCGGGCTGTACCGGCCATAAGACGGGCTGCCCCGACCCCTGTCAGCCCGGTCCCGCGACCGGCTCCGGCTCCGCGACCGACGCCGGCTGCGGTCCCGGCTCCTGCTCCGGCTCCGCCGTCGGTCACGATCGTCCCGGCCACCGTACGACGGCGCTGCCCCAACCGCTGCTCCCACCGTCCCCTGAGTGCCGTAAGGTGCAGAGGAATGACCCCCGCTGTAACCGCCTCCGCCGCCATAACCACCCCCGCCCCCGAAGCCGCCACCATAGCCACCCCCGCCGCCAAATCCACCGCCGCCGTGGCTCGGCCCGCTGGCCCACCGGTTGCGACCGCCGCCGCCAAACCCGCCCCGCATGGCTAGCTGCTCAAGTTGAGGTGGCACGGTCTGTTGGGCCTCACGCATGACCTGGATAAGGTCGCGCGCGTGCTTGGCGTCCTCACCCGTCATGAACGTGAAGGCCTCGCCGGTAGCACCCGCACGGCCGGTGCGGCCGATACGATGAATGTAATCCTCAGTGCCCGTGGGGAAGTCGAAATTGACAACCGCGGCCACGTTCGGAATGTCCAGTCCACGCGCCGCAACATCCGTGGCAACCAGGATCGGCGTGCGGCCATCCTTGAAGGCCTGTAGGACGTAGTCGCGCTCGGATTGCTTCTTGTCGCCATGGATAGCCGCCGCGCGGAACTCGCGGGACATCTGGTATGACAACTGGTCGCACATGCGCTTGGTGGTGCAGAAAATGATGATCCGGGTTCCTGCCGGCTTCGACCTGAACAGAAGGACATCAGGGTCATATGTAAGCTGTAAGTCCAAGCAGCTTGAAGGTTGACCGTTTCCACACACAAGCATCCCAATTCCGATCGACAGCAATCGAGACCACAGTGCATTGCCAATCCTTAATGTAGTGGCTTCTGACGCCCTTGGCCCCGGAGCAGAACATACCTGATAATGCGCGAAAGTTCCCCAAACTTTTCATGAGAACTGTTTAGCACCAACACGTGCTGCGTAATGGATTTGTTAGCCACCAGCTTCTCCTCCACACCACCGATGAACACGTGAACCGTCTGGTTGACGACAAACTGCGCAGCAATGTGCTTGACCTCGCGCGGCCACGTAGCTGAGAAAAACAGCGTCTGGCGCTGGCGGGGCAAGGTCCGAACAATCCTCTGAATCTGGGGCTCAAAGCCCATGTCCAGCATACGATCTGCCTCGTCCAACACAAGATACGACACCTGCCACGAAGCAAAGGCCCGAAGCCCATGTTAGTAGAATGGTCATCGATCATCATTGTGATCGATGACAATCATCACTCATAACAGCACAGCGACGATGCTGAGTGCAAATAAACGTGTGCATGTCGCCCTTGCCAACGTAAAAAAACAAAACCCGCACGATGACGACGGCGACGGATCAAGTGTTATCAGTTGCGTCTCACCTGCTGCAGACGGACTTGGCCCGCCTCCAGGAAATCGTTCAGCCGACCCGGTGTCGCGATAACAATCTGCACACCGTGCTGGATGTCGCGCAGCTGCGGCCCCTTCGGAGCACCACCATAGACGCAGGTGTTCCGGATGCCAGAGGAGCGGCCAAACTTGTCAGCCTCCGTCTTAATTTGAACTGCCAGTTCGCGTGTCGGTGCAAGCACAAGCAGCGTGGGCCCCGATCGCGGATCCTTCCGGGTTTGCTGGATGTGGAGCATGCCCGGAAGGAGGAAACCGCACGTCTTGCCCGAGCCAGTCTTCGCAATGGCCACGAGGTCGCGGCCCGACAGAGCGATGGGCCAGGCTTGGGCTTGAATTGGCGTAGGATATTTGAACCCAGCACGCCGAATCTGTGGGAGGCCGAGAAAACAATGGGGAAAAGAGCTCAGCCAAGCAAAGCACGCCTTGTGAACAGAAAATGTACAGACTGGCTGCGAAAAGCACGACACTTACAACCACAGAGTGCACGTGGTTGGGACGGCTAAGCAAATTAACACAATGGCAGGAATGAGGCATGGGTTGGGGGAATTTCCTGGCGAATCGTTACTTACAGCCTATGATGCAGAGAAAGTTGCTGTCGGTCGCTGAGGTGATACGGCTAACAGTACTGCGCCTACAAGTGCAAATCTACAATAATACCTAAGGAGGCCCAATGCGTAGACGTCGGATCCCAGCTCTGCAGGATCATGGAACGTTTAGTTTATAGACTTTGGTCGCTCCCGCTGCCCTGTGAAATTTCTGCGTACTCGCCTTCACGGCGCAGCACTCCGAGGCCGGCGAGCCGAGCACGTTCCCCCTGCCTGCCAGCCAGACCGCGCAGTCGAGCGCGGCTTTGTGGCGAGACCGAGGTGCTGTGCTTCTGCCCTCCATAGCAGTCAGGCGAGTGGATGGGCTGCAAAGTGACCCTGCCATCCCTTGCCTGCCGCGCCTCTTCATGCTGTGACTGCCAAGGCCCCTGCAATGGGCCGTACTTCAGGGACTGCGCATGCGGCTGCATGGGGGCCTTGGCCAGGGCAGAAAGGGGAGATGCCGAACACATCGGAGGTTCCCCAGGGAGGAGGGAAGGCCTCCGCAGACGGCCACCCGCTTCCTCAAGTACCGAAAACTAACGGTTGCTGCAAGAAACAGCAGCCTAGCTGTTTACCCGGCCATGCCCTCGCAGGTAGCCATGGCCTTCAACTCCAACCCATTTGCCGCCAATGAGCACTTTTGTGTTGAATCCAGGAGGTGCTCGAGCGCGACCCTGGTTCGTGCAGCTGTAATGTGGGCTTGGCGCGGCGGCGCCGTGGACAGCTGCTGCAAGGAGTGGCCACAGCCGGGTCTGTGTTCAATTGGCGAACACCGTACCTCATCCAAAATGTCGGGAGGAAAACCCACAGACTCGAATGTCTGCAACGGGTCAGGCACATGGTCGCCCTGCACGGAGATGTCGTGTTGGCGGCGATACTCAGAAGGCGATACAAAGCCTTCGGTTGAAACTGGCTGGCCATTCATGCCCGTCTTCTGGTACGAGGTAGACGTGTAACCATTGCCATTCGCGCCAGAGCCGTAATCCTCCTGGAGGAGCAAGCAGTCACATAACAAAAATCAGGAAAATGAACCACCAGTCCCTTTGAGCCCGCCGATAGGCCACCAAGGCATCGGAAATAATTGATGTACCGTCAGCGCAAGAATTCACCTCACCCGCCGATCCCTGTTGGTGTAATAGTCGCCGCCTGATGATGGCGCCGCAGGCGCTGCAGAAGCGCCGCCTCCTGGACGATCATATGTAGTGACTGCGTTCCAAAAAGTGATATGTAATTATAGAGAAGAGCACCAAAGCGCTTAATCAAGGCATAAGCGGAAACGCGCCGTTTAACGCCTAAGTTCCCTCGCCTTTACCCCAGTAATACTTGCCATTTGTCGTTGGGTTCCAGTAATACTGGAATAATTTTCAAGTTGGGGACAAAGCAGAAAACGGCGAGGGTCAGAAATCTGAGGGGTGATGGAATCCAGCAACTCCAAACTCCAAGCGTAGTAGCACACCTTTAATCTACTGGCCGGGTCAAAAAGAGCTTGCCATGGCGCAGGCAGCGTGGGGTCATCAACCCGCTGAACACCGCTCATTCTTTCACCAGCTTGAAAATCTAGAGCTTATAAACAGCTGCAGCCGTCTTAACACAACGCGTCGTGTCTTTAAGACTTAGTATGCTTGCAGCATGACGTTCCAATAATACTTGGGTATCCTCTGTTTGTAGGCGCAAGACCGGGGTGGAGCCCTCCTGGACCTAACCAACACTTTGCTGAACAGTTCTTTCTTTCCTTCCGCTCAGCTTCTTTTGTTCCGTTACACCTCCTCGTACCTCAATGCATGCAAATTCTGATTTGCTTCCTGTGACGCCATGAACATGTGCTTCCAAGCTCTGTGATTTCAACCCGGTGGCCTAGCCCCTGATTACGCGCTGAAATCTCCCCGTGAATATTGTTTCTTCACATTCTTGGGGCGGGGGCTGGGGGCCCCTGTCAAAAGCCGGTGTCGGGTAATTCAGTTAACGGATGTACTAGAGCTGGTGGGTCGGAGGTTGAAGGATGCACACATCAGTCAAAGCGTACCATAATATTATGTATAATTGTGGACAGTAATCAACTTGGCTAAGTTGCTGCTTGGGACATTTCTCTGACGATGCCCAGCTAGGACTCGACATAATGGTACATGTCCCTTTCTTTAACGTCGACCTTCCCGAGCCCAAGCTAGGAGCTCTTATACCGGACACTGTGAGCGCAGTGCTGGGTTGCACTGCAAAGGCGCTCGAGTATGGGACAGAGTTGCTTCACCCTCCATCGGCGGCAGATCTTAAAGCGTATGAGCGCTCCTTTGAGGCACAAATACCTCGTGAATTTAACCGTGTCCGGAAACGGTATGCGGAGGGCAAGATAATCAACGATGAGCAACTTTCCAGCGAACTGGAGGATGCCTCGTTCGACTGGTACCGGAGGCAGCTACGCACGTCGGTAATTGGTGCAACAGATGAGGAGATGGAGGATGTGGCTGCGCGTAAATTGGGTCTGCGGCAGCCTAGCCTGCAGGTGGCTGTCCAGGAGAAGTGTCTGGCCGATGCTCTGGCTGATGCTGGGGGAATTGACCTGGAGGCCGAGCTGCGCGACGCCGCAGAGTTTCAGGCCATGCGTGCGCGCGAGGAGGACCTTCGTCGTGAAGTCGCGGAACGCCTGCAACGCCTCACCGAGTTGCGCCGCCAGGTGCGCCCCGCGCAACGGCAAGCACTAAGCAACATCTCAAACGCCAGCGGGGGTCTTCTGGCCGGCGTGCTCCTTTTCAAGTCTGCGCTCCTACTGACACGACGGATATTTAAACGGCGAAAGCCGCAGCAACGACTGCCGCCCCCGCAGCGGCGGCAGGCACCACAGCAGCCATCGGCGGCAGCGGCAGCGACTCCACCACGGGCACAGGCTGCTGCCGCAGTGCAGCAGGCGTCGGCGGCACCTCAGGGGCAGCGGCAGGCGCAGCAGCATTCACAGAGCAAGGCACAAGGGACGAGCACGACCGCCACGGCAACGGACGCGGCTGCCGCCGCAGCTGCAGCAGCACGCAAGCCACGCGTCGTCAAGAAGCGATAATTCCCGCCCGGTCTTGTGCTTTAGGAAGCTATCCCTCTGTCTTGGTTCAATTTTTTTTATGGCTGGTTGCCAGTGCGGAAGTTCGCATTTCGGCATGTACGTTGACCAAGGCAGGAGGTTACCGTTTCGCTAGTTGATGTACTGGGCAACTGACGTCGTCTCACTTCAGTCGGTTGATGGCAAAAGGTCGCTGCTTCACACGGTTACCAGAGGGACTCCAACAGGTTTGTGTATTTTGCAGAGTGCAGGCGGATGTGCGAGTGTTACAGAGTAGATGGCTTCTGGGCTTGCCCACATTTGAATCCTGGTCTTGCTCGAACACCGGCGATGTGTAAGCGTGGAGGGACGGCAGGCAGGCTCTATTAACATTTCGACGTTGCGTCACGTCGCGTCATGTTGCGGGTGTTGAACCTTGCAGCAGGCACATTGTGTCTTACCATTCAGGGAAAGGATTCCCGACAACCTCCATTACCCTCGATTACTATGTAGCTCTTCATTAGCCATGTGGGCGAACTTTCCTTAATCGATGCAACCAAACGAGTACGGTGGGTCTCCGCCGCCAACAACACGCCGTGCTACATCGCAAAGCGCACGCACCAGCAACGAGGCACAGTCACACAGGAAAGCCCACTGACGCGCATCAACTACCAAGACGTGAATGCAATACAGTATCGTCCAAGGCAAAAGGCCCTACTCAGCCTCTCACAACCCTCTCCCGAAGCCAGGAAGTCTTGCTGTGCGCACGTAGTTTAGAGTTTAAGAGTGAGGCCATCCAAACACGAACACAAACAAGCGCGAGCGTGTGAGAATTCACGTCTGTGCCAATATTCGTTGTGTTTATGTTTCGTTGTAATCAGCGCTTACTTCCCACCACCCTGGCAACCGCCGCCTGGGCGAAGGCCGCCGCCTGTTGTGCCATGGCCAGGTTGGTGGCGCTATTGGATGCGGGGATGTGGCCAAACTGCCCGGTGGCCTTGGTGAAGTCTATCCGGGCGGTGCCAGCGGCCGACTGCTGCTCCCGCAACCGCGCCCGGCGCTCCTGCTCCCGCTCCAGTGCCTTGATGAGTTGGTCTGCAGGCGGGGTAGGAAGGGGTCGAAGTCAAAGGGCGGAGCCGGGGGAAGCCCTTGGACGGGAGGCAGGGTGAAAGAGTTGGTTTTATCCTGCAAGCAGGGTAAGCGTGGGGATGGTGGCCAGGCCGGGGCCAAGTCCGGCGTGTGATTGCGGCTGCTGGAAAGCATTGCGGGTTCGTTGTATAGCTGACTGGCTCATCTGTGCGCAAAAGGTTTGGGTAAGCGGGTTGTGGCGGGATACCACTTTTGCAAAATACTCTGCCGTGCCCCCGCCCATGTCAGTGGCTTTCCCACCGATGCATCGAGACAGCTTCCCCCTGTGTCGACTTGCGTCTGCCGGTAGAATGCACCAAAGTATAAGCCCCCCAGCCCCACAACGCACACCAAATCCGGCCAGGACCCTTTTCCTCCCCTCCCCCCCTTCAACCAAAAGACCCGGTACTGCGGGGAAACTAACGATACGCAATGCAATGCTCCGGGTCAAGCCTTCAAATGCCTCCCATGCACATACAGGAAACGTCCAGTGCACAACAGCGCATTCACGAAAAGTCTAGTAGTTCTCCCGCTCCCTTGGCTTTTGCAAACTGGTGATGGGGCCGAAACTCATGCCTGGCACATCATTTGCACCGCGCATCCCGGCTCCCCCCTACCTCTCCTTTCCTTCCTCACCTATGATATCCTCCGGCGGCAGGCTATCCGGGTCGAACACGTCGGGCGGAAAGGCGCTGCCGTGCTCCTGCACATGGAAATGGTCCACCAGCTTCTGCAGAAAGTCCGGGTTGCGGAAATCCTTGCGGTGCGTGATCGAGTCCGTCAGCGAGATGCCCTTGGAGCGCAGCTTGTCCAAGTACTGGCTGAAGCGCGCCTGGGGAATTTCGGGTCGAGGGGGAGAGGGAAGGGCCAGGGAAAGGCGAGCGGGGGAGAGGAGGAGGGACAGAACGGTGTTATGAAGGTGGTGCTGCGAAGGATTTGAGCGAACAGGGAGGGAGGAGATTTTGAAAGCGCGTATGTACGTGTGTTACGCCTCGGGTTGCACTCCCTACAAAGGTGCAACGAAGACGTAAAAAGTAAACGCAAACCCAGCAAAAGGAAACGAAAGCCTAACAGTGAACAGCGCTTTTCCTGACGACAAAGACGCTGGTTTGGCGCCAATGGCCATACTCTGCCAGTGGGAACAGGAGGTTCGGGTTTGACGAGTTTTACAAGACGGTGGTGTGCAGCGCAAGTTCCGTCCCAATCGGCGCCTCAGACAGCAGCATGGCTAGGAGGCCGCCAGGACGATACCCCGCTGGGTCGTGCACACGTGCAGAGGAGAGGGTAGGGGAGGCCTCGCCGGCACTGCGTGGCAACCATCCGTGTGGTGACGGTGTCGCCGTCTGGGTTCACCGTATGGGCCGGTCTGGTGCTCAAGAACCCCAAGTAGATAAATCTGTTCTCTTCATGTTGGCGTCGTCGTACGAACCCAACCCAGTCGCCCTCCTGTCTACCCTTCCCCAAACAGGCGCCTTGGAAACGCGGGCTCCCCCCAGAAGCCTCTGGAAGCAAAATCACGTAGTTCGAAAGAGATTGGCAAGAGGGTTAAGCCTGGACGGAGAGGGGCTGGGGACGCACACCCCGGAAGTGAATATCTGCGCGGGAACTCTCATAGTAGCTGGGCTTTCCCTCGCTTACTTCGCTGCCCAGGGTTCTCCTTAGCTGTACAGAATGGCGATCATGTCACTCAACGGGGAGGCGACGACTGCCGCAAGCGTCTGGTGCAACTGCTGTGCGGCGAGCCCAGGGTCCCCCCATCCTTTCCTTCCCTTCGTCACTCTCCAGGCCCTGATACACGTCATGTAACCCTACCTGCCATCACGTGAAGACGGGGCTGCAGGTGCACACAGCCGCCAGCCGAGATCGACATCACCACTGCGCTGCTACCGGCCCAAGGGCTCAGAGAGTGATGTGACACACAGCTCCCCCCCCCACACACACACCAGCTGGTGTGGTGCTCACTACAAGTCGTCACCATTACATCAGCGTCCGACCGCCGTGGCAACAAGCTGTCAACGCGCCATCCAACTCCGCCGAGCAACTCAACCGACAGACAAACAGAAGATCTATTCGCACAATTGCGCAACACATTTAGTCATCGTCAACTGAACATGTGCGAACTTGCAGCTGATTCCCTCTGCAACGTTTTGACCCACAGCTATGGGTCGCAGCCGAGGTTCACCACCCGAGGTAGGGAGGTTGGGAGGGTGGGGCCGGGTGGGCGCTGACCGGTAGCAGGTACGTGGCGGCGACGTACCTGCAGCTCTTCGGGGCAGGTCGTCGGCAGCGGATCCCGAAGCTCAGGGGGGAGCCTGTTCAAAGGGTTATCCGGATCCAATCGCCCGGTGCCGTACCCTGCGAGGCCCCAGTCGGTTAGCTAAGATGACTGCAGACGTGCGGCTGGGGCGGGCCCCTCTGGCCCCTGGGAGCAAGGACCCGCTGCTCACCTTCGTCACCTCCGCCGTCAGCACCCGAGGTCTCGGCTGTCTCTGGGGACCGACGCCGCTCCTCAGCTAATGCTTCATCTTCAAGGCCATTGAGGTCCAGAGACTCTCGACTCCGGTAATTCGGCAAAAGCACGCCTGCGCGGGCATCTTGGGAGGTAGGCCAGCACCCAGGAAGTTTTGACGTCTGTCCAGCTGGCGTCGCCAGAAGTAGCTACCTGGACCATGGTCGCCATTAGATTGATCCTCCGTATTGTCCTCAGGCCCAGGCTCCTGGCTATAATCATCGTCTTCATCGTCGCTCGCATATCCACCAAGCCCTAGCGCCCCAACCGCCGCATCTTTCCTTTTCATTAAGGGATTTCTAGCCCTGGGTTTCTTCTGTACAGCCTTGCACTTCCGGCCAACTGAAATGTAGGCCTCGCGTCGGGCTGCAAATCGTAGCTCAGCAATTTAAAATACCTAGATGTGCTGGCATATGTTCATCGATCTTTCTGTATATACATGCGGGTTTCTATCTGTCAGCACTGATATCGTTACCAGCACGCACTCAGAGTGTGAATCCCAAGGTGCTACAGTTGGGAGGGAGAACATTACACGTGAATAAAGGTCATGAATCATACTGTTTCCAAGGCCGCAAGAGACCGTAAGGCCCAGATCATCATACCCGACAACCAGAAGTTCGGAAGTTTGAACGAAAGCTCGGGCGATAACAAATCGGCAAAAACGTTGGATAATGACAACGCGCCATATATGATGAACGCCATGCGCCAAAAACCAACAGTTAAGCACCCGATATTAACCGCCAACTGCGGGTTGCCAACCTTGTCAGTCGTATACAATACAGCAGATTGCACCTCCATGTAACTTCTCCCTTTGCACGCATTTGCACACTCCAACTTGCGGGTACGTGAATGGGCCAATTTCTGTTACTGCGGACCTTGTTCTGTAAAATTTAGCATTTTTCGTGGTTAACGCTATAATTCTTGAAACAACGACCCTGTTTAGCCATCGCGTGAAATGGCGCACGCGAATGGCAACCCGCCATATGCCGTACGCTGCAAGCGGTAGGTCGCGAACGCGTTCGGCCTGTTTGGGCCGTACAAGCTCGTGGAGCTACGCGTTCGGGCCGCAGTTGCCAATCCACGCCAAGTGGTCATCCATCCAGACAGATCACATGCAAATCATATAAGAGTACAGCAGCCCCTATCTCACATACGTCTCATCCCCATGCGCCTCGGGCATGCTGTACCTCACCTCACACTGAACGTGGCCGCGAGAGCTGTAGCAGTGGGATCGCATCCCCAATCTTGTCAGGAATACTGCTGAACAGCCGCATGGCCATTATTTGTACTCTCTCGCAAGGGTTGCCTACAGCATCTTGCCCTCAACCTCCAAATCACCAGACGTAATGTATTTTGCATACTGCACGACTGACGGCTCGCCACGAAAGGCGTATCCAATTTTGCGGATCGGGGTTGGGCCGGGGTAACTCCTGGACTGCAAGCGCCTGTCAGCGGGTTCGCTCATGGCATGTCATGATCACACTGGCGTTTACACATAGGCAGTTGCCCAATAGCGGGCAAGTCCACACGCAGCCAGTTGCCCGTCTGCCAATTCATAAGCAGCGCCAAAATGCTTCACGACACCTGGCCGTGGCAGCCATCGCTGAACAACCGGACACGCATCATCAAATGGTGCAAAGGATGTGCCCGGTCCCGGATTTCAGAACTAGTACCGATCAATAGATTTATACATACACACATATTCACACACATACAGGCGCGACTTAAATACACAAATGTTTGCGTCAGTTAACGTATGTACAAGGTCGTACACTGTCCGCACACAACCCGCATGTCAGTGAAAACTTGCGTCAGTCCCGGGTCACGAGTCGGGCACGATTCACATAGCAACGACCTGCTCACGGCAGTAGTGGTACACGAAACATGCTTAGAACGAGCGCCCATTTGACCATCGGGTGCGACTGGTTATCACATAGGGCAAACCACACGATGTGGACAGCTCTAGGTGCAACGTTAACATCACTTGCTGTACAACAGCACCGATCCCCATCTGCATATAATAGGCACAGAAGCTGATTACATGCGGAGTTCTAACGGTCCATCGACTCTTGAAAGATGAATAAGAAAATCCTCGCTCATGATCAAGGTGCTACCCTAGCTGCAGACCATGTTCCATGTCACAGCCTCTCTCAAGGCGCATGGGAGGCTTCACAGAGGCACTGGCTTAGGCCAACTCCTAGAACCCCATCCTCGCCTGCCTGATCCCGGTACAAGGTCATTACCTCGACATTGACAATCTCTGTAACGTCGTCCCCTGAAACCTGCTGGATGTCCGCTTGGCACACCATGGCCTGCTCTTTGTAACCCCCTGCGTGCATGGCTGTAATGCCGTAATGCTTGTGACATGAAAAGTACACGTTCATGCCTTTTGAGGCTTCTGCGCTTCTTCGTCCTTGGGACCGCCCATGACGTCCATGAGCAGCTCAGGCGCGTACTTGGGGTTGCCGTCATTGGCGTCGCAATCCTCGCAGAAGGCCAGGATGACAGTGTCGATGGCCATCTCAAACACAGCGAAAAAGATCTCTGCGGTAGGTGGACCGCAGGAACGGCGGATGCGGCGTAGGCTTGACTCAACGCGCCAGGAGAACACCGGCAGCGGGATCGAGAAAAACAAGCAAGCGAGCGTGTCCCGTCACACTACCTATATAACCCTGGGAGGAGCCATACATTGGTGAGCACTGAAACAGATGCCGGTATGGCGGTTACGTATGGCTATGTGATGCTTACGCGGCATGGAGGTAGTCCCAGCGGCCGCGACCCAATTATGGCGAAATTACCTGCTACTGCATAAGCGGTGATGACGGAAATGGCAATGACCAGGACGGGGCTGTAAAGGTACGTGTTAGGAAACTCTTCAGGCGAGTTATAATACTTGGCCTCAGTCATGGCGTACCTGCGCATCAGGACGAGCGCACAAGGCAGGCAAGCGCACACGCGTCTTAACAGGGTACTGGGAAGGCCGACAGAGATTACAAAGCAGCCAGAGCCCCAGGAAAAGGAAGGACGCTCGCGCACGACTTACGCTATGACGCCACATGCGGCCGCGACGGAGACCTTGCCGAGGAAGATGAGCCAATCGCCGACCAGGTTCACCACGGCGATTCGCAGTGCGTTCTGCACGGGCAACCCCGTGAGTCAAGAAGTGGCGGGCAGGAGAAGAGTCGGACCAGGACTTGAGTTCAAAAGGCGGAGAAAAGGGCCAGTTGTGAGGACCCCCGTTGAGCTAATAGAGCAATCTGGTTCGATAGTTGCTTTAGCTGAGCTCGCCTCGGTCCTTGGAGGTAAGAGTGCGCTGGTGACTCCTTTATTGTGAAGTTGTTCGCTACTCAACCTATCCTTGGATAGCAGGTAATAGTAAGGATTTGGTCGCCAATGCGGGCATTCTCGTCCCGAGCAGAACTCGGCTGAAGGTCCATGATTCCCCCCTCGGTTGCAATCAACACCTCTTTGCCAAGCTGGACTGGATTGTCCGTGTTGGTTGACGGCGGGCGAACAGCGGTGGTTTCCTGGGACGGCTAACTCTCCCTGAGCGATTTTACCCTCAGTGCCAGATCCCCCATTGTTCACAGGCTGAGTTCCCGCGGTTCGCAGTGCTGTGCAAAGCCGTGTCTCTGGCCGTAGCCAGTTAAATGGGTACACCTCCGGCCAATACGGTGTGGGCTGCAGTCATGCACAGCAATCCTTTTGGATCGCTGGAACAGGATTCATGGATATCTAGGTTAGGTGCTTCCTTGCTTGCGCGGCCTGCGCACGTGTCAATCCAGTGATACTGCAGGTCGCCAAAGCTGACACGACTCACCGAAACGATAAGCTTTACGGCCTGGATGGCAGAGCAGCAGTATCCCTTGCCCTTGATGGCCATCATGATGTAGGCGTTACGATTAATAAATTTGACAATCTGCTCCAGGCACCACATGCAACACTTGACGCAGCACATCGCCCATTCCGCGAACTTGTTCTGTTGCTGTATCTCCTTCGTCTTGCGATCCAAATACTCTAAGAGGAACCTGCACGAACGATACGCGATAACACCAAAAGGAATGCGACGTAATTTGCCATATACCCCAAGAGCAATGCCGGGGCCAGACACGAAGTATGTACCGCCTCCTTGCAGTGGAGGTACAACATGCTTTCCACTCCTTTCCTCCCTTCCTCCCTTCCGACCCAGCAATGCAGCCCACCACATCCAGCCTATGAATTACCTGATGAGCTGGATGATCGCAATAATGCATGCCGCAAAGCAGATGGATCCCATGTGGTAGATAATGGTGTTTTTTAGGGCCACCAACACCGGGAACGCCGACATGTTAGCGGAGTCACCGCGGCTCCAGTAATATTGCGCAATGGCCCCGGCAATTGTTACGCAAGCAAAGCCGATAATCACTGCGAGCAAAGAGAAGTAGCACGTCAGCAAATACATGTCGAACGATATACCACAAGACGGCGCCAGATCACAGTACCATGTTATTCATGTGGGTTGGTCACAGGGTGCGAGGGATACCGCATCAAGGAAGCCTGCCGCGATGCGCTGCTTGGCCGTGCTCCCAAGCACACACACCTACCCGTGGCAAACCCGCTGAAGAATTCCCGCAAAATTCTGCGATATACCTTCCCAACTAACACTCCTAGCACGCACCTTGGTTTGTCCACAAGAGGCCAAAGAAATGATAAATAAAGGCGTACTTGAGGCGATTGTTCCAGTCGTAGGAGAGGTAACAGTTCGGATCACGGCCACAGAGGAACGCGCGTTGATCGCTGAGGGATCAAGGGTTCATATGGAGGTCAGCCCAACAAACAAACAAACAAACGCGTGTTCAACTTTAAGGCCTAATAGCTGCAATACCGACATGGCGCAGCCCCGGGGCCGTTCAGAGGCATCGACCTTCCTAAATTCTCCCTGATTCAAGGGGCTTCCCAAATCCAATCTCTTGCTAAACACTGGCATGCGATGTGCTAACAGTGCACACGTCACTGTGTGCGCGAGTGACACAGGTCAAGTGCGGCTAACTTGGGTACTCACGTCGTTACATTGGTGTAGCAATTGCCCATTGTGGCGTTAGGCGACAAGCTGTATGACGAGTAATTGAAGCTGCTGGACAGCTCGCTCGATGGGTTAAAGGTCGTCGCGTCCATCAAGTTGGAGACGTTGGTGTATTTTGAAAAGGAGAAGCTTTCCTTCGAGGACTGTGTGCGGCAATGCGCTGTCAGGTCCCCGCTGCTGTACATGAGGGCCGTTACCGCGATCCAGTAGATGACGAGGCCGACCTCCAAGACGAACGGCAGGATCGGGAAGAAAATGATGGAGGGCATAGATCCCACGGCCTGGCTCGCCACCTGCAAGCGAGCGCAAATGTGGTGAAGGGTCAGTAAGGGGAACTACATGGCGGGGCGGTGCATGTTGTGGTGTTCGGCCTAGGCCCCTAAAAGCACGTCTGCCAGGTGCACCGACTACGGCAACACATGCTCGTCGTGGTGCGCTACGGGGTCATGGTGCACTAGGGAATAGGTCTTTCGCTGTTTCGCTGCAGTTTCGCCATCTGAACTGCTCACCTTGACGCACGCGACGGCGATTCTGATGCGCGAGATGCACAGGAGCGTGATTAGCAGCACAAATCCCGCGACAATGCTTGCTCCAATTGCAATCCAGAACCAGGTGCGTTCTTCGCTTTGTGCTGGGCTAATCTCAACAGGTAACGCGTCCAAAATGTCCTGTCAACAAGGGAAACCAATATCAGGATTGCGGTGCATTGAAGCACAGTCGAGAGATGAGCGGTGCGCGGTGGGTTTTGGATTTAGTTTTGAGATACATCGAACCACATCGCAAGGCAAAGTTGGGCCGGGTTTATGGTCTAACCATGCAAGGCTAAGGTTAGAGAACGTTGGCGCCATGGGACGGAAAGTGGGGGAAAGACGAACCACAAACGAGTGAAGCTGCTGCCAGGGCAAGAGTGTACCAGACGGAAAGAGGGGGCCGAGGCCGGGGCCATGGGATAATAGGAGGAATCCTACGCAGACTGACGCAACATACATTCTCTTGTATTGTTCGCCTGATGCAGCCACCCATACATTCGGCCCATGCACCCCGCCTTTCCAAACTCACTCTCAAGGGTCGCTCTTTATTGCCCAATGGCATTGAGCTGGGCCATTAATCACAGACTGCCGACTTTCAGCCCAGCGCCTAGTCGCTACCCAGACTGTTCACTCTCCGACGTGCGTCTCACTCTCCCATACCTGTCCGACGCCGCTGTTGCCAATGTACCCTGCCTTCACCCAAGTGAACAGGCACGCGCCGATGCAGCACAGGTTAATGAAGATAATTCCGAGCCACACCATGACTCCTCCCAAATATCGCAGGACGACTAGCCACACCTGCAAATGCGGAGAGAATGCGCGCGGTCAGGGAAACGGGACCAAACGCACGCTGGCTCGCTACATGAGTGCGGGGCCGCGGTGCAAGCCATCAACATTCTCTTGCGTGGCCAGGAAGGAAGCGGGGGGGAAAGACGAATCACGAGCGAGTGAAGCGGGGAAACGCATCTATGCACACACCACCATACCACGTTCCACCCATCCCTGGAGGCCTTAACATAGGTCAAAGACGGTCAAACAGTGAGCGTAACGAAGCCAAGGGTGCACTTTTTGCGCGGGGCGGTTCTTGGCAAGTGCCCATCATGTTGTTTCCACAAACGAAAGCCTGGACATGGATGCGAGTAAGCCGCTTGTTCCACTGTAGAAAAGTATCCCAACTGCCCGACCTAGGCACCGTGCATTACGCCCTACCCTCACAGCGGAAGGAAACCAACCAACAAAACCCACAAGATCTTGTGCGACGACGGAGTAACACCGATGTGCAATCTATTCAACGATGTGCGATCTATTACGGCAGGTCAGACCCCGGGCTTTGCTTTAAACCTGGCTGGGCACCGTCCTTACCAATGAAAGCACCAGGCTTCCAACCAGGCCGCCGATGACGATGACCAGGATGCCGCGACTGATGTCGCCCACGTACCGACCCCACCTTTGGCTGGAGCTGTCAAAGTGCTTAACCAGGTTCTTGACGTCATCGCTCTTGACCGCCTTAGAAATGGTTCCGGACACCGTGGCCGTGATGGCGGAGGTGACGTTCGCTGGAAATTTTGGAAAACACCTGGACATCCGCAATCGCATGTCAGTTTGCCCCAGTCGCGTTCACGGGTGACGTAGACCGTTGAGGATTACCAGCGAGGGAAGCTGCAAAAGTGCTACACGTTGCATTGCGTTGCAGGCCATGCCCCTCCTAGCCGCTGCTTCGTCCCTTTCCCCTACACAAGGCTCTGACCTGTAGAAGAATCCCGAAGTTTCAAACAAATTTGGATAGCAGGGCCCATTGCCGGGGAACTGCGATTGTGTCTGGTAGTACAGGCCGCTGAAGTTTGCCCGCAGCTGAGCCGCCAGGGTTGAGAACGCACCGCCGAGGCTATCCAGCTTCTGCAGGTGCCATGGAAAGGTAAGTGTGCGAAGCGCTTTGCGCTATATCAAGGTGAAGCCCTCAGGGTGGTGCGAGAGATTGAGAGGGCGTTCGCGGGTCCGAGTTGCTCCTCTACATCTGGTTTGGCTTTTGAGGAATGTGGTTCAGTCGGTGTAAACTTGGCAGGACGTGCGATGCCCGATTGCCTGCCGGAATCGGCATTCCAAGCATTTCCCAGAACCACCACTATGGGTGAGCACCGCCGCCCCTGGTCTGCTGTTTCCTTGGGCCTTCCGCTGGCCCAGTACGCAACAGCTGCCTTTGTCCTACCTCATTCCCATCCTACCGATAAGAACGATGAGGCCGATGAATCTGTAATGTTTGTCACAAGAGCTAGTTCGCTCCAGTACGAAGTGTCCGCATCGCTAACCCCTGGTATGAGGCCGTACAGGTTATCCTCAGCAAACCGGTAGTATGGGCACCTGCCGTCGGGGACATGGGTTGGACACGTCATACACCTGTTCGCCTCGTGGAGGGGCTGTATGGACCTGGTAACTAGAAATGCGCAGAAGATGTCCACTTACGTGAATTTGGCCCCGTTCTGGCAAGGGAGGTTGTCGGCTGAGCATTGTTGCGAAGCACCCGGACAGCTTGCTGCACATATCGTCTTAGCGTAGCTTATGCCCGATATACTTAGGAGGTCAAGTGGGCTGGAGTATGGGGAATCGGAGTGTTGGGGTTAGGAACTTGTGGGAGGCGTCCAGGTCAGGCAAATTGTCCAAATCTCCCGGGGACAACTTACTTCAGCCAGTACAAATTCTTGGCGTCGGAAAAGTCAAACGTGACGTTGAAGATTTTATTCTTGGACCCGCAGGTCATACCGAACGAGTCAACACCGTAAAGGACACGGTTTGGTTCCCCTACAGTCGCGCACGGAAATTTAACGGCTCAGGAAGCCAATTTGCATAAGCCAGGCGCCAGCCGAGCGAAAACTTAAAACTTATTGTCCCATTCGTTGCAAATCCAAGCCCACGCATCCAAATGCCCTTTTTTGTTTTACCTTCTTTGAAAGCAAAGCCGCATATGACGAACATTCCGGCCCAGAAGGCAATAAATAGAAGTAAGCACAAGACGTCGCGACAGCGCCGCTTGACGACAAACCCCTGTGGGTAATTAACAAGCAATGAATTCCTGGAATGTCTTTACTGGCTGAACATCCCCAAAGAAACATTTACCCTTGTCCTGGCCACGGTTGCTACACCATTCAGGCAGCTATGGGGTATAATACGCAGCATTTGTCAAGTCCATATCCTTCCTTTGTGTCAAAAGCAATACATCATGGCAAACCGGACCTTCACGCACCTCCTTGGTGTCCGCGTCGTCATCCCCACAGCAAGCCATGTTCAAAGCTCAGAGCTTATTAATCCTATAATTTGGAATTATGTTGAGCGGTTTTCGGTTCAGAGGGAATACACTTAATGTCTGCGCAAGGCAGTGGAAGCGCAGAAAGTCTTAGACTTCCTCAAAGAATACCAAGAGAGCCCGCATGCTACGCCAGTTTATATGAATTACAATATGCTGAACGTAATAATAAACGAGGTGTGGTATAGCCACCGTAGAGTGCCCGTCCAGATACCGGTACCGTTTTCCATCGTACATTTTCGTAACTGATATGAGCATCCTGCGGGAAATAGTTAATCCAAAGAGCCTCACAGCAGCTACCATGCACCGAACGATATTATCTATAACCTACAATTACAAAACCCTAACGTGGAACTGCCTCTGCGAGGGCCTACACGAAACGCTTAGCGCCCTCGCCGTTCAGGCCAATGAGGCGGTGGCGGATCGTGCCCAGCACTTCTGACACCTTCGGCAAAGTGATGATGGGTGGGAAGGCATCCTTGCCGCCATCTGCTTCCGCATCTGCCGGCAGACCCCGTGCTTGTGGTGGGTACAGCCACACCCCGACAGAAGCGATGAACTGGTCAGGATGCTGAGCCAGAATCGCCTCCCAGTCCACCTGCAATTACGAGAACATTGCAGGAAAAGCAGTGCATTTACTGTACATCTCCTCCTGCACCAAATAAAGCTCCCAATCGCGCCGATGCCGCACACTGCGGTAGACATCTCGCTTTCTATGCCGGCGAGTTTGCCGTTTGGTGCTGCTTCGCGAAGCCCCGAGGCCTAATCCGCACTCTGGGCCTATTCGGCGCGTCCTGTTGACTGATGTCATTTTTTGCTCTCGGCGGTGCCTGACGCCTCGTGGCACACCGCTACTCATTCAACCCTCTGTGTGAGCACTGCACTGCAACATCTAATTACCGGCGACACTGTTCTGTGCAACATTCGGGTATGACAAGCTTTCGATGGCCCAGTTCGTTTAAGACGCGTCTGCAGCGGGCACACAGAACATGACCCAGAACCCTGAGTGGGAAACGCATATACCTGGTAGTCCTTGGGGATAGCAGCCGTTACTGGCATTCCCGCGGCCCAGAACATGCTGAGCATGGTGGTGTAGCCCACCGCCGCCGTGCCACGCGCCAGCGGCATGAAGTTGTACCAGTAGTAGCAGTAGGTCAGGATGCGCTGAGCCAGCTTGGGGAGATCCTCTACATAAGGGCCCCACACATCCATACACATAGGCAGGGAGGACCGCCGAGAGAGAAATCCGTCAGGGCTCCACTTTAGGGTGAGATTCAAGCAAGGTACTAAAGACCAAGCCCCCTAGCTTCATAGCAAGACTGCAGAGAAATCGACAAATGCTGTACGGCTGGCTTAAGAACGCTTGCACCGCGAACCCACCCGCCTTTTCCACACATCTGTCAAGGATAAGCGTCTGTAGGTTTCCAGGCAGACTGCCCCCTGCAGTTCTGATCTCCATCGACAGTCCTTTCAGCATCCAATACAATCAGCCGACCCTCACCCTTCCGTTTCCAGCGTTCCGTCCGCTTACCATCCGCTAACGCTTGCAAGACGGCATCGAACGCCGCCTCCAGCTCCGCATCGAAGTCCTTCCAGCGCGGCGGCGTCACAGGCGTCCGGATGGAGAACTCGTAGGCGTCGGGCTGGTTAGGTACCCGCACCAACGTAAGCCGCGTGCCCTCCAGCATGTGCTCCTGCCGCGCCACGCTGTGGATGGGTACCACCACCCAGCTGTCCTGCCTACGGGAGCAGGCCAGGAGCGCGCCGCAACGTCAGCAGAAAGCCGGGTAGGATTGTGGGGGAACTGCATGTGTAGGTGCTTGAGACATTCCCAACACCACACACACACACACACAGACGTGTAACCCCAACCGCTGGCCCAATCCAAGTCCTACAATCTCCCTTTATAACCCTCCTTCGAACCCTTCCTACATGACATATCTAAGGCATCCCTCGGTTAGGCGCTTCTCAATTTTCTCATGTTTGCAAGGTGCAAGTCTCCCCGCACCACCAGCCGGGCTCGGGCTCATGCAGCTCCGTTGTGTACTCTCCTGGCCGCAGCTGAGACCTTTCAGGGTCCCCTAGGATCTAGGAGCGTACCCGTGAACCTTTATCCAGTGACTCACTGGATGACCTGGTACATGTCTTCGGCGGTACGCGCCACACGGATGGCCTCCCGCTGGGACTCACTGCCCAGGGGAATGGTCCGGTTGTTGGCGTCGAAGGCGTGGCCCTCGCGAAGCAGCACCTCCCGCTGAAGGTCCAGAGCGCGCGCAAAGTTCATGTAGTAGCGCACGCACTTGGTCTGGCCGCTAAACATGGGCGTGTGGGAGCCGAAGCCCTGCTCGAACTCCCGGCGAGTAAGCAGGTCCACCCACACGACCTGCAAAACAAAGGAAAACGTCAAAAAGTTTGAACATGTCGGTACGCCTATCTAATTTGTGTACGTGCGGAGACATGACCGATGCATGACGCGCATGTGTGGACATGGAGATGATGGCGGTGACGGTTTGCCGCCTGAGGGGTTACCACAGCGTATCATGAAGCACCAGCCTACTCAGGAGCCAGGGAGCGGAAAGAAGCAGAGTGGACAAACGTGACCGCTTCGCAACGCGTTCCCGAAGTGCCATTAACAACATGACATCCATGAGATGCAATGAACGGCACGACGTGGCCACGGACATAGTCCACAGGGGCCGAGAGAGCAGCCTGCCTTCAGCTCTCCCGGTGGTGATCGCGGTCCGCAGCCCCACCTGGTCGTTCGGCTCGCACAGCTGCCTCCATTTGACCACGATGTCCATGGCATCTCGCCATCCGAAGAGGTGCCGCCCCGCGCTGCCCGCTTGGCCGCTGCTCCCCTCACTGCGCACCCAATGCTGACGCCCAGCCCGGCGTGCAGCGACTACCTCCAACATCGCCTGGCCCAGCTCAATCGCTGCATAGCCCGCGGCGCGCTGCTGGCGCACATTAAATAGGAAGCCCTGGGATGGAAGGATGTAAGAGCGTGCGGAAAAAAACATAACAGGACGTAGGTTAGATCGACTGCAGATGTGTTGGGATATCAAGGGCGCCAAGCAGCCAGTACGCTAGCGGCCGCCCTGGAGTCCTTGACGCGGGCTGGTACTGTTTAGCTACCTACCTACGCCGCTCGCAATTAACAGGCTTCGAGACTTTGTCCACACGAAAACATAGGGCTGCGACCGGCAGTGCTGTGCGAAGTCCCTAACACCCGACAGGCGTCCCTACACGTCACTTCACGTCACTTCACGTGAAGACGTACTCCGGGCGGGCTGCGGCGAAGCACTGCTTCAAACGAAAAGATGGCCAGGTCCAACCCCTGTCCAGCTACCAACGAGTCAACGACCAGTCCAACCGTGGGTTAACGGCCATAACCTCACCTGGTGGTTGTTTTGCAGCAACACACCCAACTTGTCGGCGAGTACCGTCAGCTGCCGCACCCGCTCCGCATCCGGAGGCGAAGGCAGCGGGGGCGGCGACAAGGGCAACGGCGGGTACTGCGGGTAGTGGGCGATTAGCTCCGAGGTGGGCGGGCCCTTCTTGCACCACAGCTCCTGCGGCGGCGGCGGGGCCGGTACATACGATGTCAATACAAAGGAACGGCCCCGCAGCTGCTATTTGAGTGGGACGCCGATGCATTGGTGATGGTGCTTCTTGAGCCTCACCGAACTTTCGGGTCATGTTGGTTTTGTAAGCTGCAGGTGCGTGCAGAGGACCGGTATGCGTCCTGGGCTGAAGCTCCTAACCGTGTTCTATTTGCCATACCGCACAGCGGTACATGCAAAACCGGATCTGGGTTCTGCGGGTTGGTTGCCTCGCAGTGTCTCCAAGGACAGGACCGGAACAACGACGGTTTGTAGGCTTGATGGCCCGTCGCTTCCTTTTCACGTACATTCGGAACGACCGTATTACTGCACAAATGACATACCCGCCCGAATTCTCCATATGAACCGCAAGAACTTCTCCATGCGCGCGTCGCAATAGTCGGAGCGGCCCCGCATGTAGCCGTGTTACGTGCGCAAAGCCACCCAAAAGCATACCCCACATTCGCATATTCTTAACCAGGAGGCAAACTCTGGACTGGTCTGGTCGGTGTACCTTAAACACGGCCGGCAGCTCGGAGTCAGGGCAGAAGTCCACGGCCTTGCGGTCCAGCGAGTGGTAAGTGTAAAGCGCCAGGTCTTTCTGATAGAAAGACAGGAACTGGAACTGTCGCGCTTCCTCCGATGGCGTGACATGAGTGTTCCTGTATGGCAAGTTATTTTGTGGGGAATTGACGGACGAGCAAATCGAGTACACATGGAGAACACAGCGCAGCATGGCGGGCTCCCACTCACCTAGGCACGTAGTTGAGGCACTCCTCGTAGTCCCGAACGGCTTCGCGAATAGCGCCCAACGCGTGGTGGCAGATGGCCCGCAAGTACAGCAATTCGATTACCTGTGAAAGCACAACACCGCAGGAAGCTAAGCCCCTATGCCTGTAGATACAAGCTGGCAGGGCACGTGCAGGCCACACCGTGAGCTGTGGTGGGGCTCATATGCGGGCCATGCAGCTGCCCAGCAAAAGCAAGGTCAATCTTTTTTGGTGGAGCGCCTTGAAGGTAAGATCGCGAGTATTGCCACGGACGCAACGCTTGAACATGGTCTGCTCTTGGCAAACGACCTGCAAGCGCAACAGCGCTGTCCCTGCCGCTGCAGTGGCACCTTACCTGCAGCATTGGACGGCCATAGCCACACCATGACGCTGTAGCCTCACTCCCACACGTATACATGCACACACACACACGCACAACTTCCACAATTGGACCTAATGCTGACCCAGCCACCAGGAACACACCCGTAGACAAATGACACGTACACCGATTGGCAGGTACCCAGCTCATCCAGCGCCGCTCCGTGAAACGCAACGCACAACCCCGCACCTGCTCGTCCTTGGCCTCCGCTACCGGGATGGCGCGGTCGAGCAGCTTGATGGCCGCCGCATGCTCGCCCTTTTGCTGCTTCATCTGCGCCAGCACCCGCAGCACGTGCACGGAGGGCTGGTCGGGCGCGTCCAGAGTCAGCGCCTTGAGCAGCACCCGCTCCGCTTCCTTGGTGCGGCCTTCCTCCTTCAGGGCCTGTAGCAGGGCGCGCGGGGTCATAGGGCACCCAAGTAGGGCAAGTGGGTCGGCGCGCCAAGGGCGCATCACGACGGCACCGTCTCACACAGTCGCTGCTCGGAATAACGCCATTCACACACGCTGATGCTGTGTACTGGTACCTGGTACTAGCTCGCAAACTGGCGATTGTGTAATGCTACGAGCATGCTAGCAAGGTGGTTAATGCAAATATAGGAAGCTGCCAGCTGCGGAGGCAGACAGCGGTAACCATGACAACGCAACTATCCATCTGACGCCACCTAGACAGCAGCCTGTAGCAATATACAGGTACGTACAGCCACACTCACAGCCGTCACATACCTGGCCCATATTAACCCAGGCTTCCTTTAGTCGAGGGTTGAGCTCCACCGCCTTCTCGTACGCCCGCACGCCGTCTCGGATGTCGCCCTGGCTCGTAGAGCACAGGCCCAACACGTTCCAGGCCTGGGAATTGGTTGGGTCCAGCTTCACGGCCTGCTGCAACTCACGGCACGCCCTCCGGTAGTCGCGCATCTTCTGATAGATCATGCCCTTCTCCATCCAGCATTCGGCTCGGCTCTGCACGCAGGTTGGAAAAACTACCTGTCACCACCTGTGCCTACCAGATTTAGGAGCTCACTCACATGGCCTGTTGCATCAGATGTTGTACCATTAGGGTGCACAGTCCAACATCCCAGGACTGCGGGATCCGGGCCTACACCGATAGAGAGATGCACCCTCGCACCCTCCAAGCGTGATGAACCTGCTGACAGCCCTCTCGCGGCTAACGATCATGGTCTCTCACAAGAGCAACATCTTAGGCGCCGCCTCAATCGCGTACAACGTACGTGACCCTGAGTCCCAAACCTTCTGGCGGCTCACCGACGCTGAATCCGCGCCTCCGAACAGCGGCGCCAGGTCAATGGCTTTCTGGAGGTCCGTCAGCGCGCCCTCGTGGTCGCCTAGGGCGGAGCGAGCTTGGCCGCGGCGTTTCCAGCTGTCCGCGTACCGAGGCTCCACCTCAATGGCCACATTGAAGTCCTCCACCGCACCTGCGTGTTGGACCATTAGGAGGGGATGCGAGCTTCGGCGCACTTCAAAACAATATGCGAGACTGGGTGCCAGGTCGCACCTCCTGTACACAGCGCTCGCGTCGGAAATGAAAGAGACGACGGTCAACATCGACACACAGACTCGCGCGACCCAGATGCGTGCGGGTCAGGGCTTCGGAGCGCACTATTGCATGCAGCCTCAATAGACATTTATGTTTCCTCTAGCCGCAATCCGGCGATGTGCTGTGCGTGGTCAGAAGGATATGTTCCAAGCATTTCCCTGAGCCGGGCATCGGTTCAGCACGGCCGTCTTCCTCTTCTATCACGCCTTCGGTGCCATTGGGAAAGTGCCAATGTGCTTGGAGGTAAGCCTGAGCAAGTCCTCGGTGCCCCCCTTCCCATGAAGTCGTCCATGCATGGGTATTACGCCCGTGCTTGCCTTTCAAGTCCCTCCGCAACGCTCGTGCAGTGCCTCTCGCCACACGAGCCCCGAGCTCCCGCGGCGTTGCCGCAATGACCTTGTCTAGTATGGCCTCTGCCTCCACAATATTGCCGCTGTTTATCTGCGCACGTGCAGATAAACAGCACGTACAGATGTGCAGCAGCAACGATGATGCAATCATAGCCATGTAGCCACCCGGTCACGTAGATTGCGACGACGAGCCTGTCGCCTTATATCCACAACGGCGCGCGGTGATGGCACCGCAACGCACCGACAGCGGAGAGAAATAAAGGGGGAGCGAGAGAGAGAGAGAGAAACGCTACTCCCTTTCCGTTTGTCGTCACACCGCAGCGCATTTCCACGCTGGAACATACGCTGTGTGCCAGATGTACCCACACCACCAACCCATGCTGCTCCAGTCCGCACCTTACCTGTGTCACTGCCATCTGAATAGCCAGGGAGTTGTTTAAGGCAGTCTGCACGTCCGTCTGGGATGCTGCCGCCGCCGCCGCTGTGCCCCGGCCACGGGCCGCTTGCTGCTGCGCTACGCAGTCCACGACCTCGCATTCCCCATCTTCTGACGCTCCGTTACTGACCGCAGCTTGTGACCACCCGCTGGCGCCCGCTGCCGGCTGCTGTACAGGAGCCCCACTTGGCTTCGCCGGCTGCTGATGCTGCGGTGAAGCTTTTGAACCGTCGCTGCCATCGGCTGTTGCCGCCGGCGAAGCGGCGGAAGACGCACTTGTTACTGCACCGTTCGCTGCGCCGGCTGCTAGGCCCGTGCTGGCGAGCCCCGTCGCAGCTACCTGGGACATCGACAAGCAAGCCGCAAAAAGCAGCTCAGCAGTTTGAGCAGTTTGGGCGTGCTGGCGCCAGGTTTTGACTTTGCAGCTGCTTCCGGCAAGCTGGCGCTGACCGCATAGGCGGTCCATCATCTTTCGGCTCACACCATCCGTGGTCTCGCGGCCAAGACCATTGCGCGGCGGCCGCCTCAGAACATACTCCGGAATGTTCCGAGGCCTTATGCAAGAAATCGAGAGGGCAGTCCCATGTATCCCCTTGGCGGCGGCATGCTAAGCGAGAGAGCGCACCATGCGCAACTGTACGTGACTGCGAGTAGCTAAGCCGCTGGCATTCCTGGTGAAACCCGCGCACTGCGGATTAACCCTGACCAATTTTAAACGAAGGCGCACCTGTCCGTTTGTCTGGGAAAAAGGCTTCGTGACATGTGCATCGTCCGCAGCTGCTGGCCCCTTGCTGGAGGACACCAGCGGTTCGGGCGTGACGGACCCTATGACAGCGCTCAAACCGGCCTGTCAGCATTTGGGAAGACGTGTGGGAAGGGCGGGCCTACATGTGTGTGTGTGTGTGTGTGTGCAGCGTATCTGAGCGGCCGCGGAGCCGGACATACCAACATCAGCTGCTAACACCCGAAGACTGCAGGATCTTCGAAATGATTAGGAAGAATGCAATAACCAGGGCCTTTTAGGGGGGAACCATTGCCTCAGGTTCAGTGAAAACGCGAGCACGGGGGATTCGGCGGCCGGGCATGGCGGGAAGATGCTGGTGCGTGCTGTTTGGTTACCTGCTGCAGCAGCTGATACTGTCCGACAAGTAATGTGGCGATCAGGAAGATGGTCACGACTTGCAAGCCAAACAGTGCCCTCCCTCCCGCAGAGGGCTGCAAGGGGTAGCGGTTCGCCGCCGCTTCGAGCCCCACCTGTGCGGAGACACAGAGCGGCGAAACCGCGGGAGGCACGGAAGCCCATGCCCCAAGGGAGGCTCGGAGGAGGTGCTACGGGTCGGAAACGCTTTTCGTACGACCGCCAACCAGCAGGACCGGCTCGCAAACGCGACGTGCACAAAGGGCCATACCAAAGCTGGATATCCAGCGGGGAAAAGGGTCAGAAACGGACGCTGCGAACTTGCCTTTACGCCGGTAGGGTTGCGAAGCGCTGCGCTTATATCGAGGACGAGTTGCACGTCGCTTCGTGGGCTGCACGCCTGAAGCGCCTCATTCCATACCGCGCGTGCATCCTGTTAGGGGTTTTGGCAACAGGTAAAGGCCGGCTCCTTTTCGACGTGACAGCCCTTGGGGCTCTGGTGAACCCACCTCCAGCTTCTTCTGTGCGGCCAGGACTTGCCCTTTGCGGTACAAGGCAAGAGGAAACCGCGGTATTGCTTCGAGCGCAGCATCGTAGTCCTATATGAAAGATACAAACTGATGATGTTTCGATTGCCGTGACAAGATCTGCAACGCATGCCGCACAAACCTTGAGAGCCTTTCTGTACAGCTGAAGTTTTTGTTGACAGTAACCTCTGTTGACGAGCAGCTGCGCCAAAGCATCCTTGTCTTCGGGCCGACAGGATGCAATTGCCACGTCCACAGTCTTGACAGCATCGGTAAATTTTTGCTCATTTAAAGCTGCCACAAACTCGAATGCCATCCTATCCTCCCAGATTGCGTCACTCTTAGTCGTCTACATGGACAAGAGGTTGCCAAACAATGCAATGTGCTACGACAAGAACGCCTTCTGATACGCAAGTAGCATTATAAAGCTAGCACTTGACGCTAAAGATGCAACCTTACTTCCGCGCACTTTGGCAGCACGGTTGAAAGCCCTAACCGTATGCGGTTAATGGTACGACGCCCTTTCCCGTCCGTGAATCTTCAGTTTCTGCCTAAAAGTTGGTGCATATATACAGAACTAACCTTAGTTTATACCTAGGATGACCAAGGAACGCATCGCATTAGACCATAACGATGCGCGTCCGGAGTAAGGCCTTTCTCCGATATTCCATCGTTGGAATTGCCGAACTTGGCACACCCTGGCTCAAAAATGGGCCTGTCAATGACTTCCATCCTTCAGAAGCCATAACAGCATACGGGAAGGCCGCTTGTTTCCACAATCGTTAATCGGGACTAACCTCGCCGATAGGACCGACCTGTAGTTTGTACAGAGGCCGGTTCCGGCTTTACAGAAATCGTGGCCCATTTCAACCGGCAGGGGACCTCCACTACCTCCCCATCTGCAACGAATTCACAGGAACAACCTCACACCAACGGTCCGTGCCCCGTGCTTTCCGTAAGTGTATGGTGCGTTCACTCCTTCTGCTAACTTCACAAATGGGCTGCCATACGAAAACACACAGCATGAACCTAGCTGAGAAGTAGGCTAGGACCTCACCCCTCACCTTGAACGACATAACCAAGCAAAACAAGCGGAAGTGTGTTCAGGAACCAGGTTCGATAACCACAAGACGCGAAAGGGTACAGCCGCAGGTGGCAAAACAACGGCGCGGTGAAGTACAACAATCCAGTGGGCGGGCTGCACCGGTCATCAGTTCAAACCTACTGTGACGTCATTCATTTAATTCAGGAAAAACGCGCGCCGGGATGCGATCTCAATACTGTTTTTCTAAGTCACTCCAAGCCTACGACGCCCTCGGCTTATCCATAACTCCGTGGTTCCCAAGTGGCGACAACCCCCGCAAAGCTTGTAACCATCTTCCCAAAATAGCTCTACCGCCCTGCCGCCATGCTGTCCGCTAAGCCAAGCTACCGCGAACTGAAGTGCCTGCGGCTGCTTACTCGAGCCTCCAGGGAGCCCTGCAGCTTGGAGTACACGTCCCGGGAGGCGGCGTCGCGGAAGGCATCGCTGCCACGTGCCGCATGGGCCTGGTTCACGAGGCGCTGGCTGTCCTCCTCCGCAGCGTCCGCTGCCGCCGCCGCATCCAGCCGCCGTCTGCGCTGTGCCTCGTGCTCCTCCGCGTTGCCCATCATCTCCGCAATCCGCCGCTGACGCTCCTCCTCTGAAGAGAGAAACAGTCAGGCCGTGACAGCAAGGGTGCGTGTCAGTGTTTTTCTTTTCAATTTTGCCGGTGAATTTTCCAGTCCGAACGGAGGAATAGGTTTTTAGTCGCGGGAATATAAGTATTCCGAATCTGTAAGGCGCTGGGGGGGGCTCCGCCCCCCCCAGACCCCCCCCGAAGAGTTACAGTTTACTTCGTGCAAACGCCGTGGGGAATGCCGCAACACGCGCACACCACAATCTCTCAAACACTGATCGAATAGAGTTCGTTCACCATCGTTCGTCTTGCATCATGTTGAAAGATAACACTACACGACT